TCCTTGCACACTTATTAAGAAGTAATTAATGAGTTTACTTTCATTAAATATAACTGGTTAAATCTTAGTTAATTAGTTTTATCCATAAAAAATATAACTATTAATTATAAAATATTTTATATAAATTCAAACATTGGTGCGTAGCACCAATTGGTATATCAATTAGTGTATTAACATATGTTATGATATTATTATTTCAAAATTATAACTCCACCCATTATATAAATTACAAATATCCAAAATTTTTAAAATTATATCACATCATCTGTTAATACATTAATTGGTATATCAGTTGGTACATATAACATTATTCAAATACAAAAGTTAATAAAATAAGTCGTGCTACACACACCAATTAGTGTACTAACTAGTGTACCAACACTAATTATGACATTATTATTGACTCCACTCATTATACAAATTACAAATATCAAAAATATCTTAAATTATGTCACATCATCAATTGATACACTAGCTAGTGTACTAATTGGTGCATATAGTATTTTTATATAGCATTAGTCTAATAAAACAGTCAAATAATAAATGCACCTGATTAAATGCACAAGTTAAAAATAAAAAATTCGGTGGTACTATATTCATCAATTAGTGTACCAACTAGTGTACTAACTAGTGTTATGACATTATTATTATTATTATTTTTTGATATCCGAGTGTCCGGGTCAGCTTTCGCATATCTCGACTAATCTCGAGGCCCTAAAATTAACGACCGGACAAATGTCCAGTGACCTTATTATTGACCTTACTTATTATATAAATTATAAATATCCAAAACTTTTAAAGTTATACTACATCATCTATTAATATACTAGGTAGTACATTAATTGATATATATAATATTATTCTAAAAAATTAGTAAAATCATAATAAATTAATAAGACTATATATACACCTTAACAAATGCTCTAGCGACATTCGTTAGCATTGTAATAATTTGTAAAATTTATTTGTATCTTCAGGTTGGGGCCGGTAAGGGTGTAAATTTGGCTCGGCCCGACTCATCCGGGCTCGGGCTTGAGCCTACCCATGTCCGGCCTCGCGGGTTCTCACCAAAAGTTGGGCCAAGCCGGGCCAGCACAACTCACGGGCTAGAAAATTAGGCCCAGCCCCAAGCTCAGGGGGTATTCGAGCCTTGGATGAGCCAGTGGGTCTGGGCTTGGGGCAGACCTAAACATTTTTTTTGTTTTTTGTTTTATTATTTTTTCTATCAAAATTTTAAGTATTTTTCACAAAAAAAGACATTGGGCCTTGGGTGAGTCAAGCTGGCGGGCCTTGGGTGAGTCAAGCTGGCGGGCCTTGGGCCGAGCCGTGAGTGGGCTTCAAGCGGGTCCACAGGTCCATTAGTCAGTCTTCAAAATGATGACTCGGGGTCCAGGGTCTCGGCCCAGGTTTGGGCCTAGGGTCTCGACCCGGGCTTGTACCTAAACGAGTCTAAATAGGCCAGGCCCACCCTGGGCTGCAAATGAGTTGCGGACCGCAGGCCATTTTTACACTCCTAGGGACGTGCTTGAATGCCCTTTGGTTGACGCATTGAGTGGGTATTTTGGGTAACGCGAATAAAGTCAATTTTTGTCAAAGAAGGTTAGAAAATTCATTAATTTATTTTCTGTAAATTAAAAAAATTAAATATTATATCAATTTTTTAACTAAAAATATAGATTATTTTAATAACTCTATCCCAAACTCACTGTAAATTTCATTGTATTCTCCTTGTTTTATATAATAAAATAACTAGGTGTGCTGAATATGAAAGGAGTCTAAAAAAGTTTTGGTAGAATGAACTTAAACTAGTAATCCAATGTATTTAGTTTAAAAAATAAAAATTAAAAAAAAAAATAATGAAAAGAGACAACCAAGAAAGAAAAAAATGACAATCCAAAAACATATATAACTTGTATTTTTTTTTTTTTTTAATGTACTCCTGAAGGGTATCTGGCACCATATAATACATATATATGTAGTAGTATCACATGCATTGCACGTACATAAAGGTCCAAAAAATAGGGGGGGTGAATGAACCTTGGAGATTGAGTGTTGTCCACATCTTAGTTTTAAAAAAAATGGTAAAATAACGGTCCCCTCCAACATTACAATTAATACAATATTCTCTATGGAGTCTTTCAAAAGTAATTCAAAGTGTTTTCTTCATTACCTAAAACAAAAGCAAGTTGATATTGTAATGCTAAGGTAGCTTTGCACATCAATTGGTTGCCCCATCCCCAAAACAAACGTTTCCAATTTTATTTTATTTTTTCATTTCACCTAATTAGGTTGAAATCTTTTTTGTTTTTTGTTTTTTGGGAGGGGGTGTTCAATTAGATATAAAGAAAGCCAATCAACTTTGAATTTTTTCTTTATTTCCATCTTGTATAAAAACAAAAATTCAAAACAATATGATACACTTTTTTTTGGATTGACAAATGTTAGTTGTTAGTTGTTAACACTTATGGGAGAAAATCTCCTCACCCTTAGCAAAGGGTCTAAGTACTTGCACATTCTTAATTTAACCCCCCTCAGAAGAATTGAACCCATAACCTCTTTAGGACTAAACCCTAAGGAAGATATGGTGGCCAACTAGGCCAATATAATACACTTATGAAACATATGTTCATAATTTAGACTTAGGCTTTGTTTGGCATACCCACTTGGGGCGAATATAGCCACATAACACAAAATAAGTTTTTTAACTCAATAAGATAAAATGTCACATCCAAACCATAATTATTTCATTTTTTTCTCACAAAAGTTAAAAATGTCAAAAAAACCTATCTCAAACGAGGCTTTTTAGCCCCAGACTAGGGGTTGTTTGGAGTGTCCAAAATAAGTGCACTTTTTGTCTTTTTAGACTAAAAAGTTGAGGGAAAAAATATGGATATTTGGATTAACTTTTGGACTTTTTATGAGAAAGTGTGTATTAAAAAATTGTATAAATTAGTGTGTAGGTATAGGGAAAAATTAGAATTGAGAATTGTGCAACCGTACTTTTTGACTTTTAGTGAATAATGATAATTTTTTTAACTTTTTGAGTAACTTTTTGACTTTTTAATTTTTTTTCAACTTGCCAAACTTGACTTGAAATAATTAAAAAATCAAAAAGTCAAAAAGTTAACCTACATCTCAAACAAATGCTTAGATTAAGTCCTGGTTCAAAACCTTATAAGGTTAGAGCCAATTTTTGAAGTGCTCTTGTAATTTTGAAGTGCTGTGTTTGGGAATAATTTGAAAAATTCAAATAGACCCACTCTCTCCAAAAATAACCAACTCTTGATGTAGTGATAAGATTCATAAAACAACATATGCAAGATCTAAAATTTCGGTTAACAATAATGTTGCATAGAATATATATCATTTAATTTATTTAATAAAATAGCAATGATATATCTTCTTAATTTTGGAGTTCTAATTAAACTTTAATGATGTAGAAATTCAAAAAAAAAAACAAAAAAAAGTCCAAAATATCACATCGATGGATGGAACCCATCCCCTAAAGCTCATATTTTAGAGCTCCCAAATATTTTTTTTAATAAAATTAGTATGCAATCTAGATTCATTTAAGATGTAAATTCTATTATACAAAATTGAATCAAGACTATTTTATGCTTCGGCTGGGTATGTAACTCAAGGTCAGCGTTAGTGGACCCCTGATATGGCACAAGATTTTGGGCAGGTTTAAGTGAGTGTCTAACAAAACTAGCCCAACATAGCCTATATTACAAGACCCAACTATGTATTTACAGAAGTACTGGGCCAGGGCCCACCAGATGTTTCGATAATGAGTTTCCAGCTAATCTAAAGGCAAGCAGTGCTCATAGTTCCTCACTGTGGTCCAATTCACGGGGTATTTTGGAAAAATAATTAAAAGTTGATTTTTTAATTTTTTTGATTTAAAAAATATATATATATAAAAAAAAACATAATAGATAATGTGATTTAAAATAGATTAAAAATCAACTTTTAACCCACTTTTCAAAAGAGGTTTGCAGTTAGGTCCCTGATGATGATATGTTGGGCAGCCCAAATAAATTGCCCTGCTAATGAAAACATTCTCATATTCCTAATGCCCAATAAACACGATGATGTATCATATTTGTATGGTTATCTGATCTGATAGTTTAGAAAAGAAAATGTTGAGAGTCGGAGCACTGATGTTGTGCTGGTCAAAGACCCGCAGATGGTTTTGTTAGTGGTGGAGATTGAGAGAGAGGGAGAGAGAGATAGTAGAGATATAAGTATATAATTAGATAATACAAACGGTTTGAATTATCAATGAAATTTGTAATAATCTTACGAATCCGAACATGACGGTTATATCAAATTTAAACTTAAGATAAATCTAATCATTCTCTAATTAGGATTGAGCTTCTTTTATATTTATATCTTAATTGTGGGGCATATAGAGGCCACCATATGTTATTTTTCAATGATACGTGTCATTCACTTTATAAAGACACTTAATGTATTTTATTTATTAAAAAAAAGTAAGTCAATTCGAAATTGTAACATTTTTATTTTGATCGTGTTTATTTTGAAAAAATATATTTATTCTTTATTTTTTCATAAATAAATATGATAAATAAAAATATTATGATTGTCGAACTGAATTAATTTTTTTTTATATTATAAGAAATTGAGAGAGATTGAGAGAGCAAATTAGCTCTGTGTTTTATATATCATACAAGAGATTGAGCTCTCTCTATTTATAGAGAGGAGAAGGTGACCGAAAGTGTATATTACAATACATTAAACTATTGCTAAAGCTTTCTTGTGTGCTGAGAAGTTATTGGTTGGTTCAAAGAGAGCGTCACATAACGCTCCATATATATTGTGATTGATAGAATGAATATGACCCATAATTTTATATTAAATAATTAAAAAATATAAAATTTTTTGATTCACATAACATATGACGATATGATATCACATAATCAACCAATCACTTTCCCCTAATATGAGATTATTTATCACATCCTGTATTTTTTTTTAGATAGAAAATTATTGGATACTTTCATCCCCCAAAAAAAGTTGGCATTGTGGTAGGCCCGTCATTATTGACGTGGAGCACCCAATAATTTCTCAACAAACTCGCCGGAGAGAGAGAAGAGAGAGCAGTAATAGAAGTCCGGTTGTGGAGATCGCCGGAGAGGCCTATGATTGCAGACCTAATAACCCCCAAACCCTAATCTATCCAAGAGTCGTCCTCCACAGATCTCTTTCTCTCTGTCTCTTTCTTTCTTCTACTTCTTCTTCTTTCCATCTCCTAAAATTCACGGATTTCGTGAAATTCATTCAAGAAATCACCAGCTGATAAATCATACCCAGATGAAATCAGCGAAGCTTCACCAAGATGAGGAAGAAGACGTAGACGAAGAGTTCGTTTCCCACAAAGAAACCCCCTCTTCCAATAATAAAGGTGATTTTATTATTATTATTATTATTATTCTGGTTTGGTTTTTCATGTTAGAATTGAGTGTTATAAAAAGTGGGATTTGATTGTGAAAGCAGATTGTAAGAACAACGACAAAGCCACTGCCACACGCTCAAAGCATTCTGTCACAGAGCAGCGTCGAAGGAGTAAAATCAATGAGAGGTTTGTTTTGTTTTTGCATTTAATGAAATTTTATTTTTGGTGGAGCTTAGTTGAAATTTTTGAGCTTAAACTTGTTCACTGAAAAAAAAAGAAAAGAAAAGGGCATTTCATTTTGTTCAACCAATAATGAAAAGGCCATGTATTAGCAACTATTGTCAATCTCTATGTATGGTTTAGGGCTTTGTCTTCTGATTGAAATTTTGATACTAAAATGGAGTTATCAGTGTACTTAAATGGAAATAGGGAGCAAAATTTCAATTTGAATTAACCAATTTTCTGCTCTATGTGGAAGATGTCTTTTTGCATGATCGTAAATTATGGAAACATTTTGTTTCTTCATTTGGTTCTTTATTATCTCGTCTTGGTCGAGCTTCATATGCTCCCCTTCATGGTGGAGCCGACATACCTTCCCCTCCAGGATTGAGTCAATAGATGCTTCCCTCCCAGGTGAAGTCAACATAGACTCCCCTCTGTGGTTGAGGGAGGGTGGAGTCAACTTATGTTTTGCTTCGTGGTGGGGGGTGGAGTCAAGATTTCCTGTCAATGGTCGACCCTTCATTAGCTTCCCTCAGGGTGGAGCATCCGTACAATCCCCTCTGGGATCTGGCCTGAATACCCTTTCCTCTAGGGTTGAGTCAAACCACCTTATATGCTCCCATCCAGGGTCAAGCAATGCAATTCCATGTGCTTCCCTATACGGTCAAGTGTCCACTCACATCCCCTCTGAGGGGGAGCATCGATTTGCTTTCCACTGAGGTCAAGCTTCTATATGGTTCCCTCTTGGATTGTACCTCCATTCCTTTCTGGATGCTTTGAATGGATCCACTTTACCTGAGAATTTCCTATTCACTAACACTTTCCTACGGGGCACATAAAGTCCAAAATGTCTACCAAGTGTCAAAAATTCTGAAATGTTCTTTTATATTATGGACAGATTGAAGATTAGCAATAAAGCTGTAATTATAGTGAATATACAGTAGTTAAATGTTAAATGTTAAATGTTTGTTCAGGTTTGAAAATTGTAAGCAATGTTCGAACACTACTGGTTGATTTTACTAGACTAAAAAGATGGGGTGGATGTTGGAATGTGATGTGTGTGCGTGTATGTATTCCTGTAAGACTATGCTTGACAAAACCTGATGAACCTTCAATTTTTGTTCAGATTTCAGTTACTGAGAGAGCTCATACCTCATAGTGATCAGAAGAGAGATACAGCATCATTCCTGTTGGAGGTAGATCTAATGTAGAGAGACATGAATCATCCGTTTATTTTTAGAATATTTACAGTGAACTGATCATTTTTGTTTTGTGCAGGTGATTGAGCATGTTCAATATTTGCAGGAAAAGGTACAAAAGTATGAGGGATCGTATCAAGGGTGGAGTTTGGAGCCTACAAAGCTGATGCCATGGGTAAATTTAGACACTTGACCTTTAAATATTGTCCATTTATAAGGTTCACCTACATGGTGATGTGTGGGTGAATGCCCATTTAAAGTGGCCAGATACACACTCATTTTGTAATTGTAATTATCCCATGCATTGTAGAATTTCTGAGAAACTTTTAGGTGGATTAGCAAGTGTAAAACAAAACTAATTTTTTAGTTTGCAAGGGTCCTTTATATAAATTCAATGTAATTCTTTGTTTACTACTGTATTGTACACCTCTAACATTGGTAAATTGACTAGTTTTTATGTATTTTAAATTTTTTGATGGAAAACATGTATAGGACTTCGCAGTGAAATTATCAATATATCAATGATTTGAGTTAACAGCTGTGATTGTTCCCAATTCATGAAAATCAGGAGCTGAAGTATGAATATCAAGATTAAAGTTTTTTGATTTTTTTTTTCCATGGAAACATCAGAGAGAGAGAAACAGCTTTACTCTGTGTATTCGCGCTATGTACATGCATTTGGGTTTATACAATTCCCCTGTTTCCTTGATGTCACCCTATTTTCCTCCATCCCGTTTTTTAAGTGGCAAGGGCCAAGTTGGGTGAGTGATGATGTTTAACTGCTTCCACTGGATTTCCAGAGGCGAAGAGGATTTGGGGAATGCAATTGGATATTGGGTTTTATATTCTTTTTAAAACATTCCTCAGATAACATATTAAGTCTCTCTCTCACTGTTTTTGCTTGAAACAGAGAAATAGTCACTGGCGCGTTCAGAGTTTTGGTGGACATCCTCAAGCCATAAAGAATGGTTCTGATCCAGGTTCAACATTTGCCGGGAGTTTTAATGAGAATAATATCACTATTTCTCCAACTCCGCACCCAAACCAGCTGAATACAATTGCATCTGATTCTAGTAGAGATCTCTCTGGCAAAACAGTGGGTCAGCAACCTGAATTAGCAAACAAGTCGTTAGCCATGCCTATGACTTTGCAGGCAAGTGTGCCTGCTCATATTCAAGGTGATGGTGTGCTTCCCCATCCTCTTCAGAGATCAATATCTGACACACAATCGACTGAGATCATGAGTGATGCATTAAATCAACCAGAGGAGTTGATGATTGAAGGGGGAACAATTAGCATTACAAATGTTTACTCTCAAGGGTGAGTAATTATAGAGCTTATAAATATCTATCGTTTATGATCAGAAAGTTATGACACCTCTTCAATTTCAGAAATGTTTCTCAAACCTTCTCGAATATTTCTGAAACCTCTTCGATTTCATCTCTTCTCTGGTTTGGTATTGGCACCTCAAATTCGTAGGCCTTCAACTTCCGAACTTAACTATTGTTGCTTTTGTTATGAGAGTGACATCCTTTTTTCCCCTTCTCTTGTAGAAAGGGACCGGGTTGAATTTTGTTTTATTTTGTTTTGATGAGTACAAGCAGCTGTTTTCAAATTTACAGCATTTATTTTTTATTTTGAAACACAACCTTCAATTCTTGTCTACTAGAACTCGAAGAAACTTTTTAGGGATGGTATCGAGTGTTTTTTCTCAAGCACCTTTTCTCTTAGTCGTGTAGAACTTTAGAGATTCTCATGTTGTCGTGATACTTACTTTTAGATGAAATTAATTATGGCTTGCTGATAGGCAAGATCTAAATAATATTCTAACATGAGAATATGTTAGGATCCACCTAAATCTGGCAACTGCTGGCTAGAAGGCAAAAACAGTTTGTGCCAATCAAAGCCCCAAAACTAGTAAGGGCACTCGTGCCCCAGCAAGATAGGGAGACGCCAAAGCTTGACTTTACTGAACAAGCAAGAAAAGCCCTTTCTATCTTATTTGTAAAGTGCTAACGCGTTTTAGAAAGATTGCTCGTTAGCTAGGCCATATTCAATAAGGCTATCTTTCCCAAGAGAATATTATGTTTAGATGTCATTTATCAACAAAAAAAAAAAAATTAAAAAACTTATGTCTAGATTTCATATAGTATATGCATACACTGGCTTTATCCAATGTGTTTGATAAGGTTTCATCCTAATTTGTAAGCTGATTTACTAACGGGGAATTTTGTGTTAATAGGCTACTGAATAATCTGACTCAAGCACTTGAGAGTGCGGGTGTTGATCTGTCCCAGGCCACTATCTCAGTGCAGATTGATCTAGGGAAGCGAGCAAATGGAGGACTGATGTCTGGTATATCTATTCCTAAGGTAAAAAAGCATTTTATACTCAATTCCCATCATGAAGAATAGAATTTCAATCAAAGAATGAACTAAACATTGATATACTTCATCCTTATCATCGTCATTAACAGCAATCAGGTTTTATATTCATATCTTCCTTGCACGTAATTGGTTTTTTTGCTTTTTTGTTAGTGGGAAAATTGACTTCTTTTACTCAAGACATTGAGACTTTTGCTTTTTGGCTTATTTAGCCAAAAAGCAGCTTTTTTAGTTCCTGCCAAATGGGTTAAGAAGATAGTGTAACAGGAAGAGAACATGCCTTCAACTAATAAGGATTGTAAAATTTTTTTTTACTGGCATATTCTTTTATTTTTCGTCTGGCTTGTCAACAATCTAGTGGAGTTCAGTAATTTCACGCTTCAGCTCTCTCTCTCTCTCTCTTGATTGGTGCGTATAACTCTCTTTTAGTATCTCTCCAGGATCCTACAAATACTCCTCTGCATCAACCAATTGGACATTTTAGGGATGCAAGCAATGGTGAGGACCCCGATCAAGCACAAAAGAGGGTGAAGATATGACTAGTATGGCATTTCCCTGAATCTCCATATGTTTGGTTTTTTTTTCTTCTTGTGATTGTCTTGATTAAAAGCTCATTTGGGATCCACTCGAAAGCTGAAGAAGCCAAGTTTGAACATATTTTGAAGCTCGTTAAATATTCAAGCCAAGATTGAACCAATTTCTACTCAGCTCGACTCGGTTCATTTACGGCCCTATCCATTGTTATATCTTATCCTAACCAAACATAATAAAAGTGATCCTATAGTTATATAATTCATCTCATATCCTAAGCATATTATATCCCATTCTATATCCTTAGGTATTACATATACTCCTCGCCCCTTACATCCAATCCAGACCACAAGTTTTTTATGCTCTTTATATTCAAAACCACTCTGTTGATATATGATTGTGTTGTCGAAATGTTCCCTGCTAGTATTTTAAGTTTCTGAATGATGCAGGAGGAGTGTATCAGTCGGATGAAGCTTGATGAGAAGCATCTTTAACCGGGCTTGTAATTGTTGATTACGTAAAGATGGTTCAATCTGGATGTGACAGAAGACTTACTTCTCAGCAACTATTGACTCATAAGCCGCTACACATTATCTGTATAAGTTTTATGGTCTGTTTGATGACAAATTAATGGAAAGGTGTCGGGTGCTTACGGAGTAGAGTTACGTTTGGTAGGGTACTTATTGTTTTTCTGCTGGTTATCTCATTAAACAAGCTGCTGTGAAATTTTGTTTCATAGGAAATCCTCTCTGCATCGCATCGTGCTGTGTTGGATCTCTAGAAAGAGATGATTTGGATATTGAAACAATTTACTGCTCCTCCCAGGTGAATAGACGCAAAAGTGGATTAGATTTTGTTACTACTTATAGAAACTGCTGCAGCATTTTTTTCTTCTTCTGTTTCACCATTTGTTTTCATGCAAGTTTACACAGCATACATTCAAATTTTTTATTTTTTTTTTAAGACCATTAACAATCGCAGTTGTGAATTTCTTGTGTGGCAATCATCCCATTTCTCATGGTCAAAATGTGGTTGAAATTCTGTATATGTCTGTGTTGAGACTTACAAATGTGTTTGCATCTTGGATTTGTTGAGAGTAAGCAAAAAGGAGAAAAACAAAATGAAGTGAAATAATTTGAATATATATATATATATATTGGTTGAATTAGAGAAATGAGAGAAGGCATGTATAGTGGCACAAGTATGGGTGTATGTATGGCCCTAACAAATTCTTAGAATTGTTTTAGTTTTTAATCTCACATATCAAATAGAAACAAATTATAACATATTAAAGAGGATTCTAAAAATGTGATATGTAAAGTGAGCTTTCATGAAGTTTTTTTTTAGTTTGTGCCACTTGAGAAGTTTTTAAAGGTTTTACTTAGTTGGGCCACTTGTAGGCATCATGGGCTAAAAATTCAAGTACTTAAAAATTATTCCAATGGCAAATTATCTGAAAGTCTTATTTAAAAGAGAAAAAATCTATTTAATCTCACAATGTTTTGGATACTTTCAACTACATATTTTTTTTCTTAATTTCTCTCTGTTCATTTGTTTTTCTCTGTCTCTTTCTCTTCCTGATTTTTGGCAATCTGCGACTACGTCTTACTTCTTTTCTTTCTCTTTCTAATATATAGTCATCAGCGATCAATGACTACTATTGATTGGGGTTTATTGGCAACCATCAATCACTGATTCCTTACTTCATCCTCACCGAAGACGAATGATGCGAGTTTCTGATAAAGAATATGAGTAAATCTACTCAAATCTACATGAGATCTGATTAGATTTAAACAAAAAATAATTGTTGGAATACAATCTTCTCTATATCTGTTTCTCTCATTCGATCTCTTAATTTTTTTCTATATTTTCTTTGTTACACACTTCTATTATATATATATATATATGTATATGATGTGTCCCGTACCCATATCCAATTTTGGATATATATGGCAAGATCCTAAGAGATTTTAAATTTATGAAGGTCTGATGCTTGAATACACACCCGCACCCGATACTCATACCCAAGTCTATGTAACATAGCCGAAAACTACAAAATTCTTCTCACAGCTTGTGAGGATGGGAACAAAATAGTCTTGAGGATTTTTTTTTTTTTTTTGTTGATGAAGATGATGATGATGTTGAAGATGAAGATGAAGATGAAGATGATGATCCAGATCTAGATCATAATCAATAATTTTTTTTTTGGGATCATAATTTAGATCAAATTTCTTCTTCTTCTTTGGAAATTGGTTATAATCCCTCTCTCCCCCTTTATTGGTATCTTCACCTTCATTGATTTTGAAAATTTCTGCATCTTCTCTTCATTGATAATTTTTTTCTGGGTCTGGGTCTGCCCACTGTGGCTCGCGTTTTGGTAGCTCATTTTATGATTTTTTTCGCCTATTTTCAAGAGAATATGAAGATGATGCTCGAAATATTATAAATTATCCTTTTCATTATTGATGATCCGGATCTACAGATGATGTAAAAATTTCTGCTCTCTGCAATTTTCTTCTTCTTCTTCTTCTTCTTCTTCCTTTTCTCTGCATTTTTCTGCAGATTAAAAATTGGGTTAACATCATCAGTTTAGGCATCCCTCTTCTTTCTTCTTCTTCTTCATTGTCTCAGTTTCAGACCAGAAAAGAAAAAAAAGAAAAAAAAGAAAAAAAAGACACCAAAACGATGTTGTTTTGGTGTCGAGCCAAATTCGGGCCTCCGAATTTCGAGCTACGAATCGGAACCGTTAAAAATTATTCCAATGGCAAATTATCTGAAAGTCTTATTTAAAAGAGAAAAAATCTATTTAATCTCACAATTTTTTGGATACTTTCAACTACATATTTTTTTTTCTCAACTTCTCTTTGTTCATTTGTTTTTCTTTGTCTCTTTCTCTTCTTGATTTTTGGCAATCTGCGACTACGTCTTACTTCTTTTCTTTCTCTTTCTAATATATAGTCATCAGCGATCAATGACTACTATTGATTGTGGTTTATTGGCAACCATCAATCACTGATTCCTTACTTCATCCTCACCGAAGACGAATGATGCGAGTTTCTGACAAAGAAGATGAGTAGATCTACTCAAATTTACATGAGATCTGATTAGATTTAAACAAAAAATAGTTGTTGGAATACAATCTTCTCTATATCTGTTTCTCTCATTCGATCTCTTAATTTTTTTCTATATTTTCTCTGTTACGCACTTCTATTTTTATGTTTTAATGGAGAAAATTTTCAAGTTTTGAACAAATTGTTTTCGAATTTTAGTTACAGGAGGTGAAAATTGTAAAATTTTACAATTTTAATTTTTTTGGTGCTAAAATGAATCATTCTTTAGAATTATAAAATTTTACAGTTTCATAATATATTTTACAGTTTGATTAACAAGGATAAATGCTTAATAGAATCATGGTTTGAAACTATAACATTTTACAATTTCAAAACTTACTTTTTAGTTTAATCAATATTGAAAATTATCTACTTAAACCCTGCAAAAATTGAAAAGTAATATATATATATATTTTTTCCATTGTTGTTGTTTGTTGTTATGTATTTTTTTTCCTTTTAATTTATCAATATTTAACACATTTTGCTATATTTTCTCACAATAATTTCTCCATTTATTTATTTATTTATTTATTTTTTCGGGACAATATTTTGGACATTCCGGCGACTTCTAGTGACGTTCAGAACACTCTTGCGATACTCCGGTGACTTTTTTGGTGATGTTGAACATTTCGGCGAGTCTTCGATGACCGTCTAAAGGAAGTTCAGCAATGGTGGCCTGTAGCAACGTTTTTTAATTTATAAAAAACAAAAAAAAAAAAGAATTTTTTTGGTAACAAATTAAAAAATACTAATTGGTGCAAGTGTTTTGTTTTGGGACTAGATGAGCTTTAAATTTTGTGTATGAAACTTACTGATAAGTGACCCTTATTCCAATAAACAGATGTTTAAAAACCTCTTTTTTTTTTTTTCTTTTGTTGTAAAACATTAAAAAAATTTAGAAGGGATGTAGGCCATAAAGTCATTTTTTAGAACTTTTAAAACAAAAGGTTTCTGAATCATTAATTGTTCAAAAAACTTTTTAGTATTGTAAGAAATTGACCTAGTAAATATTAAGTTAACACTTCCATTCATGTGCAATCCCGTCTCACAATTGAAGGGACAAATAGACTAGAAGAATAAAGTGCACGAAAATAAATAGAATATAATGCACAATGAAAAAAATAACAGTGTGTCAAGGTTTGAACCAAAACTTCTTACAGTGGAACTCTAATACCATATTAAATTACTAATTAACCTAAAAAGTTAAACCTTAAAAAAAAGAAAAAAAAAAAGAAAAAAAAGAAGAAGAAAGGTGCAACAATATATGGAGGGTAAAAATGCAAAATTCATGTTTGGAGATGGGTTGGGCTCTGTACCTTGGTTGGAATGTTCAATGAGAAAGGTGGTCAAATTTTGAGTCTATTTATTGCAACATTCAAGGTTGTTCCCTCTCGATTAAGCAGCCCACCAAGCATGCCTAAATAATGAAATATATATATATAGGATGCTTAAGCATATGACAATAGGCCTAAAAGCTTTTAAATTAAAAGTTATGATGATCAACTATTTTTATCATCTTATTTAGCTGTACTACGAACAACTAAATTAGTACATTGCAGATATATGTGAATCGTTGGACTTATTACACAAATATGTGTTGATGAGTAATATGATATAATGAATTCTAGGTGTTTGTCGAGTAGAAAAACTTAAGAATAAAATTTAAGATTTTAAGTTTGAATCAACCTAAAAGTCCATTAAAAGTTTGTCCAGTCGCTAACTTGAAATTATTGTTATTATTTTTCTCTTAACAATCTAATTCAAATGATTTATGACAACCACATTAATTCACAACCACATTCATTTGGTGGGGCTGTGACTTATGACACGATAATAGGACTCCAACCATTTAAACAAATATGCAAATTTTATTTAAAATTATTTTGCTCACACACCTCACAAATACATGTAAATAAAACACACTTATTATTAATTGGTTTAAATAAAGCAATGAAGCTCATTTAAATTGTAATAATAGACCCCATTTAAAGATAGAGGACCTCACTATTTGAACAAATTATATTATATTATATTATATTTTGTTTTACTCGTACAACTTTTGTAAGTTAATTGGAACATCAGTGCTAAGAATCTAGCTAGAATATTTACTTAAAAAAATATTCAGATAAAGCATTCAATCTACACTACACTGCCTACTATCATTCTGAATAAATTTTCTGAACTGTTTTTATGGATTGGTAGCTTTTCTGTAATTTGGAATGTTGAATATGCAAGTTGGTCAAATTTTGGGACTGTTAATTGACACAATCAAGGTTGTTTCCTCAATTAAGGAGCCAAACAAGCATGCTTAAGTTATACACACACATGCATGCAACTATATAACGTACAGCAACGTAGTACTGTACTGTCTATCGAGGACAATGGAATGGATGTCCACTTCCACCATATAATACCATTTTCTTATACATTAAACTATAACACAAATTTTAGTTTGTAATTTGTGACTACATATTACGAAATATTGGGGCTTTAAACCCATATTTGACTACATTGAAAAGTACAAAAATCCAAAATAAAAATTAAAAAAATGTTCACAAAACAAAACATAGAAAACCTCAAAATTAAGCACAAGTAGGGCCATGGTTTGCATAAAAGCTTAGGGTTTTGTTTCAAAATGTCGGCCACAACCGATCCCGGACACGACACGGTTCCTCATTTCCCTAATTTACAAAATACATTAATAAGTCACCACATCCACAATTTTGTATTCAAAAAGTATTTTTTAGTTTCTCTAATTTGGAGTGAAATTTGGCAAATAAGCCCTCCCCATGTTTCATGGACCAACCGGGACGGAGGACTTGTTATGTATGGGACGTCGTCTTCTGACGTGGGAATAATCCATTGTAAAGAATTGGGTGCGGTCGGTCCCTTCCTCAACCCATTCTTGCCATGTTCCTCTTCTTCCAAACTTCATGTCTGCTTCTTTATTGTGTTGTTTTCCTGTACACGCCACATTACTTATTATTTCCCATAAAATTATTAATTAAAGATGTTTATATACATGCTTGAGGAACCAAGTTCAGGAAAGAATGATCTAATGTTTAAAAAAATTGGTAATACATGCTTGAGGAACCAAGTTCAGGAAAGAATGATCTAATGTTTAAAAAAATTGGTAAGTACCAAAACTTCTTCTATGTATTATATTATTATAATTCAATGGGAAGTGATTCTATCACTGTTGGAGTAGTTTTTTATTTTATTTTTAATATTATATATATATATATATATATATATATTTTTTTTATTCGAAGGAAAGTTGTGGGGTGGGGGTAGTTAAAATGTTGATCAGTTTGGAAGTGGAAAGACTATTATTAATAAGTTGAAGTTGTGTTGAGTCAACACAAGTAACGGAAGGGGAATTTTTGTAGGGTATATTAGGAAGTAATGTTTCTTTCAAGTGGATATCAGAGCATGTGTACAGAAAAAGAAAATATTCAGAAAATGTAATTTACAATCCAAATTTAGTGTAAGGGTTTCTTTGAGATTGATTTTTTTGTTGATTATTTTTTTTCATTTTAGTGATTTTTTTTTTAATAAAAAAATACAAATTTTTAAAACTTTTAGAATCTACGATGAAACGAAAAAGTAAAATTTAAAAAAAAAAAAATCTACCAAGGACAAAAAAAAAAAATCTACCAAAAAAAAAAAAAAAAAAAGAGTAAAAAATAGTTGTTTTGGCCTTTTTTTAATTTTTATTTTTGGTGAATTTTTTTTTAAAAAAAATTCAAAAAAAAATCTTTTAAATTCTTCTACACTAGACGAACTAGAAAAATAAAAAACTTGATACAAATTTGAAAAAAAAAAGAAAAAAGGCTTTTAATTAGATGTCAAATGGCATCTAAGTGTAATGTTAAATGGCATCTATTCGTGATTTAGTGAGTTAAAGAATGTTATCATTATTTGAAAACTTGTGTGTTTTTAAAACACGACTTCAAGCCAAAAATTCATAAAATAATTTGAGTTTTAGAAAGTAAGTTTGAAAATGCATGTGTTGAGAAATAAATTTTCAAACAACTCGAATTTCATAAATAACTAAAAAAGTAATAACAACCTGGGCAAGTATTTTTTTAGTTAATAGCACATGCATTGAGGAGGCAAAATTAAAAATGAAAATTTAGTGATCTACAAAAAAATTAAATTGGTAAGTATGGTCATATTGTTTGTTATGTAAGGTTAGTTAAGCAAGTTTAATTTCCGTGGTAAATAGAAAATCATTTTGTGTTATATAGTGTCAGTTATGATACCAAGTAAAATCACGAAAAATACTTCGCTATTTGAAAAAATTGTCTTATTTTTTGTATATAGTTTTAATTATTAATTTTTTTAAAAAAAATTAAAAAGAAGTGTTTTTTTAAGGTTGAAAAATTCAGTTATGAAGCTCACTTCCGAAAGGTTTTTTGAGTGAGACATGAACAAGTAACTCATAGATGGTTCACCTGATAAAGATGCCCTCTGCTTACTGTATGACAGTAACTCCTTATCTTCATTAACCGTTGCCTGTTTTACAACAAATCATGTAAAATGAAGATCAGAAGATTATATTATATAACTAGAATGCCAAGTAAATTGATTTTTTTCCCTCTCTTCTAATTGATTTTAAACTCACAGTATAAAATTGTAAATTTAAACTTAGTGTCGTGTGGTGTGAGCAATGAGCTACACGTCCGCAGACTGATTCACATATTTCAAATTCTGAATGTATATATATATATTGGTGTGAATATGTAGCATTATTTTATGGAGTATGAAACAAAACTTACATGTACAGTTGCTGCCTCCTCAATGACTCTGAGCTTCCTTGGCAGTGTAAGAAGAGAAAACTTGACATCTTTAGCTGCACAAAATAAGTATGTCATAAGTTATGAGTTCGAGAGAGAGAGAGAGAGAGAGAGTCATTACCTTGGTCATGGGATGATTGCACTTGAATTTGTTGAGAGGCACAGGGTGTCAGCAAAACCGAGAGACAAATGCATAGTGTGGTGATGACTATTATCAGCTCCATTATTAGCTCAAAATACTTTGCATGAGAGGTTTTCTCTTGTGGGTTTGGGTTGGAATTTATAACAATCAAGTGAAGAAGCCCAAATCACAACCACAAGGGGGAGGGAGGGAGGGAGGGAGAGAGAGAGAGAGAGAGAGAGTTTACACGACACAAAGCACAAAATGGAGAGTTCCAAAAAGAGTAGAGTAAATCCATATATTTATAGTTCCTTTTTAGGAACCTTCACACCATTTGGGTTGATTTTTTGTTGTTCACCTACTAAGGTAGTAAGTAGTAGGGCCAATAATTTTCTTGTTTAATAACAATATCTCTACACAGATATATCCATCAACATAGTTACCCAAAATGTTGATACTAGTTAGAGGAAAAACAACAGCTCAATCCTTCTTTACCCAATTGGAGCCAGAAAGTTTTAATGTCCCGTTATAATTTATTGGACATTTTTTTTTTTGGGGGGGGGGTTGTGTGTGTGTGGCGGTTGGGTTATGCGTGTGTTAAATTATACTTTTTATTTTTGTAATTTGATGTAAATTTTACTTTGATGCTTATTGTTTTAATTTGAATAATTTGATCCAAAAATTTTAAGTCCAGTGTTCAAATTTTTTGTTAATTTTTTTTACATGTATTTCAGAAGATTGACAAGTGTTTCAAAATCATTAATTTTAACCTCTAACTTGAACATAAAGACTAAATTAAAACTAGGCTTAAATTGTAGTAACCAAATTGTTCAATTTGAAACAATAAGAATTAAAGTGAAATTTATATCAAACTAAGGGGTTAAAAGTGTTATTTACTCATTTTTTAACTTTTAATATTTGGTACAATTTTTATTTACAATTTATTAAACAAAAATAATTTAAATATACTGATAATTAAGAACCAAAAGATAAGTGTTTTTAACTTAATTTTTTTATCATCAATATCCAACTTAAAAAAAACTACACCCATCATGCTCAATATTTGATAAGATTATTCTGATACAACTTCCACCATGCTTGGTGAATTTCACTTATTAAGCTTCAAATATGTAGACCAGCTCATTGGTACCATCATATATACCATTCTGTTTTTAATTAGTGTTTTCTATTTTGCATAAAAGTCTCTCTGATGATTGATGTCCATGAAATTGAAATTTCGCATACTACAATCTTAAAATACTATAACTTTGACAATTCTGCAGTACTGTAAATGTTAACATTTCATTTATTTTCTTTATAAAATGTGAAGTGAAAATGTTATTTATGAGCAACATCATAAAAGAAAAAAAGAAAAATAACTTAGTTAAATTTTGACCAATTATTAAAGGCTGTATAAAATTTGACATAAAATTTAACAATTTTAGCATGAGTTTCGGTCTTCGAAGCAGAGATTTTGTATGCTTATGCCACTACTAGGTTTTGATTACTGTTATAGTATACCCCACTAGAATAACTCTATTGGGTTAAAATGAAATTCCGCATAACTCAATCTCATATTCTGTTCACATTTTAAATGCCTGTAAAAAATATATATATTTTTTTATTTATAATAACCTTATTAACGCTTGTCATTAGAAGGGTGTGTTTGATTGGACGGACTGGAAAAGGGGGGATTAGAATTCATCGGACTTGAGTCATGGGACTGTGAATCCCCCGGACTATTTGGTCGGATTGGATATGTATTCCGTGTTTGTTTTTTCATGGGATTAGATGTCTGGATAGGACTATTTTCAGTGAATCCAACGTTTGGTTGGACGGACTGGATAGGATAAATGTTAATATTTTTTACATGTATCTCAGAAGATTGACAAGTGTTTCAAAATCATTAATTTTAACCTCTAACTTGAACATAAAGACTAAATTAAAACTAGGCTTAAATTGTAGTAACCAAATTGTTCAATTTGAAACAATAAGAATTAAAGTGAAATTTATATCAAACTAAGGGGTTAAAAGTGTTATTTACTCATTTTTTAACTTTTAATATTTGGTACAATTTTTATTTACAATTTATTAAACAAAAATAATTTAAATATACTGATAATTAAGAACCAAAAGATAAGTGTTTTTAACTTAATTTTTTTATCATCAATATCCAACTTAAAAAAAACTACACCCATCATGCTCAATATTTGATAAGATTATTCTGATACAACTTCCACCATGCTTGGTGAATTTCACTTATTAAGCTTCAAATATGTAGACCAGCTCATTGGTACCATCATATATACCATTCTGTTTTTAATTAGTGTTTTCTATTTTGCATAAAAGTCTCTCTGATGATTGATGTCCATGAAATTGAAATTTCGCATACTACAATCTTAAAATACTATAACTTTGACAATTCTGCAGTACTGTAAATGTTAACATTTCATTTATTTTCTTTATAAAATGTGAAGTGAAAATGTTATTTATGAGCAACATCATAAAAGAAAAAAAGAAAAATAACTTAGTTAAATTTTGACCAATTATTAAAGGCTGTATAAAATTTGACATAAAATTTAACAATTTTAGCATGAGTTTCGGTCTTCGAAGCAGAGATTTTGTATGCTTATGCCACTACTAGGTTTTGATTACTGTTATAGTATACCCCACTAGAATAACTCTATTGGGTTAAAATGAAATTCCGCATAACTCAATCTCATATTCTGTTCACATTTTAAATGCCTGTAAAAAATATATATATTTTTTTATTTATAATAACCTTATTAACGCTTGTCATTAGAATAAATGTTAAGAGAGCATAAAAAGATTATACAATTTTTGTTACACACATGTTTGAGTTTTAAATTTCAATTCTATCTTTAAAAATAATATTAAATCCAATTAAGAGAAATAAAAATATTTTGCTCATTCGATGGACCTGATTTTGGATATGGCCCATTTGGACCTATGAAGGATAGGTCAACCCAAGGCCCAAGATAAAAAAATATGCTTTAAAAATGGATACAAGTAGTAAATGGACAAGGGCCCACCTACCTACCCTAGAGGCAGTTAGTTATTGACACAGGACCATAAGAGAATCCTAAAGAAATCTGACAAACAATGAAGGTAGGGGTAGGCCCATAATACAAGGCCCAGTTATTAATGTGTACAGCATATATCTACCAACTAGTGCCATTACCCCTTGCTACCATTGAAAAAACTTCAGGCCAGGCCGCGTCCTAATGTAAAACTTGTTTGGATGACAAGAATTTTAAGCGAGGATAAGAACTGTAATTCTGAATTTCTAATTATTTAGAACAAAAATGGAATGATCAATTCTTGATTACCTAATCAAATTAGAAACATTTTCCTTATACTAAACAAGAATATTCTCCATTATAATCTCACACGTCTGAAGAAATGAAAATCTTTCAACAAAAAAAAAAAAAAATCAACTACAATAGAACATTTTAACTAAATCAAATGCTTGAATAGTAATGAGATTCTCATTAATTAATTAATTTATTTATTTTTCATCTCTATCTTTCCAAGGTAGTCTAAAGTTGTTGTATTGGTCACTACAAATGCAAACATCTTTGATTTATTAGTGAAGCAAGTAAATCAAGAAGGAAACGTGAGTTGAAGACACCATATTAACATCTGAATCTTCAAGCTTCAAATCAAACCATAACTCAAAAGGCGCATGACATTGTGATCCTACTACTGCACATTAAACACCAAGCCTAAAGAAAAGTGAAGAGATGTATATTTACGATACTCAGATGGACAATAATCTAAAATTTTGAAGATGTATATATATATAGATATCTAACCTAATAACCTATCTATGCATAAAATAGAAGAATTTAGAATTTACAGCAAAGAAAACCCCGCCTCCAACCCCTATGCTTTCGGTAATGCCTTCTATCAGCTTTTGCCATTCTTACCGGACTACTGTTCCATTCAGACGGTAATCTGAAAACATGAAAAATAATTATCATTATGTTAGTTGTGATTGTGGTGGCACAAATATGTAGGGCAGCAGATATACTAAGCTGTTTGCAAGTTTGGTTGAGCTGGGCTCGATAAGGGCTCAACTTGGCTAAGTTCATTATGTAAATAAACAAGCCCAAAATAAATTTTTACCGAGCTTGAGCTAAAACAAGCTCACCTTGTAAGGTTCAGCTCGTTTATTATTTACTCAAATAATAAGATAAATATATTATTTTACATATTAAATAATGTATAATGTGTTCTATATGTACATTTCATATAAAATAATATTTAACGGGCCGAACTTTTCCTATATAAACGAGCCATGCCAAGCAGAGCTTGAACATGGTTAGTATAAACAAGCCATGCCAAGCCGTGTTCAAGCTGCACTAATTTTTTAGCAGAGTTTGAGCTTGATTTTTGAACTAGAAACGAGCCAAGCTTTGATCCTTGCAAATTCAGCTTGGCTTATTTGCAGCCCTATGTGTATGGAGAAAAAGAACTACAGAAACAAGGTTGATGGAAGTTTACACAGGGAAGGCGAAGGATCGGGCACTGGTGGTGCTGCTATCTGACCGCAGTGAGACACTACCAGAATATACCAATGGCCCTGAGTATGATATTCGACCTGAAACAGGACCTGCCATCGAGAAACTCGACTCGCCTTGACCATGTTGAACTTCACTTTCAACTGCCAAACTATTAGAAATTCCATTCTCGTGACTAGGCTTGCTATCAATCTTGAGGGGTTGTTCAGGATCAACATCATTGAGGTTCTCATCTGTGCCATTAGTGGCAGGTTTAGAAGAGTTGAAATCAAAAGTGATTGTTGAACTCTCCACCTTGCTATTGTAAGGTAAGTCGTTAACAGGATCACTCTGGTTTGATTCCTCAGCTATTGAAACCAGAGCAGGGTTTTCGCACTTCACTTCAAAACTTGAAATCTGTAACAAAACAATTGCTATCTGCGTCAAGTCCCCATGTATGTAAACTCCATCTCAACACAAATTCAAAGTCAACATTGAATTAAAAAGGACAGGTACAAATTAAAGAAAAGGATGGTGAACATTGAAGAAAGGAAAAAAGGACCTTCTTCACTTTCTCATTTTTTTTTTTTTGCTGAGACACCAGTTAATATTTTCTCCTTACAGAGGTCCATTGACTGGGTAATTACAGTGTTTCTCTAATGGACTCTTCTTTCACATTGGTTGGATTTATATTCTATACTTCATGTTTCTCGGAGAAAATAATATACTGAAATTATAACAAGAAAAAAAATATTCTGTTGCAGCTCAGATCAGATGTTGCTTTGATGTATATGTCATGTATAGATAGATGGATTTGAGCTAGTAGGTACAAACCTGACCAGATTGTTGTTCAACTTCATTGGCATCACAATCAGGAGACTCGAAGAGGGATTTAAGGGATATTTGTTTACCGAACTTCTGCAATGAAGGCATGCTACTCGTCACAAAATTTTCTTTTGAGACATCATCCGCTATCATCTCAGTTGCATCAGGATTTGTTTCACCTGCTTGCACCAGAGCGAGGGATCCGCAATCAGTACTAATATCATTGTCAGAATGACTTTCCAATAAAGATTTCAATGCATCTGCAATATGCAATTCAACAGCCACTTTTTCTTCAGTCCCACATTCATGAGCATCATCCTCGTCATCTTCATTTTCTGATGAAGATTTCGACCCATCAGGGCTAAGCAGCTCAGTATCCTTATTTTCTTTCATCTTACCACCATTACAATTTTCATCTGAAGGAAGGACGGTGTGAAGACCCTTATCGTTATCACTTTCACTTTCAATCAAAATCTTGTCTTCGAAAGGCAGTCCCTCATCAATGCAAATGTCTTTGACAACATGGTAAGTACTCTCTTTGAAACAAACTATCAACTCTGGCAGTTCACATTTCATGACATTTTTATCAGCATATAAATCTGTGCTCTTCTCAAACAATTCCATTTTGCCTGAAGGAATTGTGAATGGGTCAACAGAATCATTGAATTCATTTTCATCTCTAACTTCATTTTCATTACCGTTCTCGTCAGCACATGAATTCTTCTCAAACAGTTTCATAGAATCTCTGGCTTCATTTCCATTTCCATTTCCATTGGTGTAATCTTCCACAACCATAGCACAGTCAAGTTCCGGCGTGTTCCAAAATTCATCTTTATCATGGATCTCAGAAGCTACTGGAGCTGCACCATTCTCACAGTTGTTTAGATCACATAACACCTCATTCTGATTTTCCCTCATGATTTCCACCAGCCTGTCTGTACTGAAAGCACTGTTGTTGTATTCAAATGGTTTAGAATCAGGCATACAGACAAGAGTTGAATGACAAATAGAGGTTCTTTATCTGCATGTACAATTAAATTCTCAATGCTTGTAAAAATTGAAAAGTTCATAAAATAAAAATAAACAAATCAATATACAGAATCCATCATTCCCTCTTGAAATGCATACAAACTTGTATTCCAAGATACACAGTAATTTGAAAAGCATTACACATAACTCTCATTTATATGACATAGTGCAAACACATATAATGACAAAAGAAATTCCAACCTAGAAGATTTATTTACCACATATATATTTCAGTACCTTGGTATTTTGAACTTTGAAAAATGTTACATCTTCTTAGGCCCCGTTTGTTTTGAGGTGTAGAGGGTGGGATGCGATTAGGATGGAGGTGGGGCCCACTTAGTGTTGTATTTGTTTGTATAGTTGAGGAAGGGATTAGGATGGAGGAGGGGATTAAAATGGAGATTGGAAAGGGGATTTGGATGGAGGAGGTAGAGGTGGTATTAGAAAATAAGTGAGGGGACTATAAATTTTTTTATTTTTTAACATTTTTTTTTTTGAACATTAATGTTTATTTTTTTATTTGTTTTATTATTTTATATAAAAATAATTTAACAATTCTTACCTTAACAACTATCATCAAAACAAACACAATTTTACTTAATCCCCTCACTACGAATCCCCTTCATTTTATCTCTGAAAACAAACGGGACCTAAGTGCTTGATTTTACTTGTACATTTTCTTCAAAACACAGAACCAATCACAAACATCCAACTAGAAAAAACATAAAACGACTCCGAAAATTTGGTGAGGTATAGCATTTTTTATTGCATAAATATCTACAACATACAAAAAATTCCATAGGAAATAAAAGGCACTGCAGCATTACCAGATGTCATGGTTACACATTACGTCAGAGGAACAATCCGTAACAGCTGTGAAGCAATCATCCACTGCCTGGTAGATTTTACCAACTCAAGGTACACACCTATCAAAATGAACGACATCCGAAGTAAATAAGCAAAATAAAGAACAGACTATATAGGTTGGTAGTACGCTACTTCAAAGAAGGAACAAAAAGTTTAAGCTCACTGAAAGTAACCATACATAACCAATCACAAAAAGAAGAAGAAAACTAAAAAACAAATTGAAAAGAGTACTCTCAACCATTTACAAACCTATAACCACACAAAGCATCTGATGAATGGCAATAAAATGTATCAATTATCAAGACACTAATGAATAATCCGAGAAAAGATACAACAGCGCATTCATGAATACAAGAAAACCAAACATCATCAATAAAGTACAACAGAGAAATGAAAACCCTGAATCATTTCATTATGAAGAGGCCCACAAATTTTGTTCAAAAGACCTATTACTTTGTAAAAAAAAAAATTTTAAAAAGGTTGTACCATTGTGGAAAACCCACCTCTGATAAAAAAGTTCAGAACCACTGGAAATTATTAAATGACACCAACTACCAAAATTAATATAGCATAAGACCTGTAATCTGTTTGTCATAATCATTTTGCTTTTAGCCATATAAATATATAACAAGTAAATAAATGCACCTGTTAGCCCAAGGACACATTTACTTACCCTGTTAAGTTAAATTAGAGAGCAATAGGAAGCAAAAATAAGGCAACTTATATCCTGCTCTGCAGTGAAAGTCAGGTGCAAATATAAAATATTAATATGAATGTTTACTCGGTATTTTCTCACTCCTTTTTTCTGTCCTTGTTTTCTTTCTCTTCTTGTTTATTTATTTAGGGAAAAGTGCATCTAAATGAGAACAACTCATAACAATTATACTTTCATGGAGGTGCAAGTGAGTCTATGTTTCGTGCAAGTGAAAGTTGTGGCACGAGACAGTTCTCATTTGCTACAACTTACCCTCCATAAAAGTAAAATTATTTTGAGTTGTTTCTGCTTAAATTTTTTATAGTTTATTTATTTTGGTATTTACCTACAAAGTATGATAAACATATATATGGCCAATCCCATAAATTTGGCAAAACAGGGGAGACCTGATTGGACTAAAATATGTCCAAGTAACAAAACACATTCCCAATAATCAAATGGGTACAGTTCAATCATTCAAATTTTTTGGCATAGACACAGTATCTTCAATTAGTTTATAGAAAAAAATAATACAAAAGTCACACTACAAAAACTGCCCACAAACACTAAAATATAACACAACTTCTGAATCAAAAAACCTAAGTGCCTACCTTTTGCAGCAATCCCCACCACCTCTTTTTTTGTCTGTTAGTTCTCTCTAGATCTAACCCTATCCCAAATTTACCCCCAAACATTGGTAAAAGGCCAAAATTAGAATCTGATAGATCTATATCACAAGATCCCAACAACTTCACATCACCACAACCCTCAAGGGCCACGAAGTACAAAAAGGCAACGAACAGTGGAAAAGGCGTATTTTTTTTTTTTATTTGTTTTATTTTTATATATGCAAATTCACAAAACAACAATTACAAATTAGAATACCTGTTTAATTAACATATGAAGACAACCCTGTACTCGTTATCGCTTCAGAAGAGACAATAAATTCGCATTTCACTACAAAACAATTAAAATCAAATAGCATATAAAATTAGTTAAATACAAATACATCAATCGGAAACAAAATAGATCAGTAGATAACATTACATGAAGATCGATCTCGTGGTTCTAACATGAATATACAGAGAGAGAGAGAGAGAGAGAGAGAGAGAGAACCTTAGGTCGTTGTGGAGTGATGAGGAAACAGAGAGATGGGGACGAGTTGAATTAAAACTGATGATAAAGAGGAAAAAGATCAGCTTTCAGGCGAGAAGATTAAAATTATACCCTTTAATTTTGTCTTTAGAGAGAGAAACAAGGGTAGAGAGAGAGAGAATGGAGGAGGAGAGAAGAGAAGGGAAGGAACAGGGAGAGAGTAATGATCTTCTTAACCCTAGGCACTTAAAAAAGGTCAACTGTCGCTTTCTATATCCATGTACATGAAAAATTATATAAATCTCTGTCTCTCTCACTATATGTGAATGCATATATATCTATATCCACACAACTCTCTGTAATAAATACGAGGAAAGAGAAAACAGCACATCCGTGAAAGAGGCGGTTCCAAGTCATTAATAAATATCACCAAAAAAAAAGTTTCACAGAGAGAGAGAGCATTCACTTCCAACTGCTAAAAAAAAAAACATACACAGTATTTTGTAAACTTTCCATGTTTTTGGCTCCGCCGTGTTCGGCGGCGATGTCGGCGGAGTAACCTGTTGGTCGGCCGCAGCAGCGGAAGGGAAGGAAAGGGAAGGGCGGTTTTTGTTAGATCTGCTGCGTTGGTGCGTTGTTGTACATCAATCCCGAACAACTTCACATATATTGATGTATAATGATGATGAGTGGTGATTGGAGGAAATAAAAACAAAAAAAGGGAAAAAAAAAAAAAAAGTGAATTTTAAAGTGATGAGAAAGTCAAAAGTGAGGTGGTGGATTTTGGTTTGGAGGAGGAGGAGGAGAGGTGGCTTTGTTTTGGAATTGAGTGGAGATGACTTGAGGAAAAAGAGTAAAGAAAGGAAGGGGGTGGGGTGGGGATCTTGGATGAATTAGAGATTATTGTATATGTTTTGAGGAGAGAGGAGAAAATCAGATAAAAATGCAATGCCAATTGCGTGGGTCCCCAACCCAGCTCAAGAATTCTTTCAGACAGATGGGATGACGTCAGCATTTGATTGGCTTACACGTGTCAATAGCTAATGCCAAGTTGGAGCAGCAATGCTACATACACATTTGGGATAGTGCTACCTGTACTATTGTATAAATTAATGTATTAATATTAATTATGATATTATTGTTAATTTTATATCTTATTTAATTTGTAGAGGTGGTGTAAAATATATCAATTAATGTATTAATATTAGTTATAATATTGTTATTGATTCTACACATTAATAATATTATAAATTTTAAAAATCTCTTGAATTATGTCACATCACCAATTGACACACTAGTTAGTATACCAATTAGCGCATATAATATTATTCAATTTGTATAATAGTTGGAGTCAATAATAATGGCATAACACTAATTAATACATTAGTGTGTACATTAATTGGTGCATGTAGCACTACCGAATTATAAATAGTAAAAATTTCTTAAATTATATCATACCATTAATTGTTACACAAATTAATATTCTAATTGAGATATATAGCATTTTTTCATTTGAGATGGTGATTTTTTTTCTTTTTGCCAAAATAGTAAAAAAACAAACAAACAAACAAATACAATCACATCATTCTGGTTATTTTCAAAAGAGCATTGATAGAGACTCCCTCCAATCACCACCCTCACAACCTCACACATACGTGGCGGGTGGTGATTGGAGGAGAAGGAAAAAAAAAAAGCAAAAGAAAAAGTAGCCAATCAAAAAAGAGAGGGGGTCAAAGGGGTGAGGGGAAGGGGGTCTTAAACATTTTTGTTTTCAAAATAATAATTTCTTTTAAAAATTTTAATTTTTTTAGTAGTATACTTATTGTACTTTAAAAATATTAATTTTTTAAAATTACCCTTTAATAGTATTTTTTTTTTAGAAATATTAATTGTCATAATTATACTTTTTGTGTTATTAATAAACTAGTGTATGCCTATGCCTAGATATATGGTATAAATAATGTTAGAATTAAAATGTAATTGTAATTTATACGTATCATGTTGAAATTTGTGAACTTATAACAATTTTGCTTGTATTAGACGTTCTACAAAACTCAAATAAAATAACAATTCATCCAAGCCTTAATGCAAATTAAGAAACAGACATATAAGATTTATAATGTTCACTAATATTACAAATCAAAATATCAAATCAAGCAAAAAAAATTGTAAACATACAGCACATCAGTAAGTACTTTGCAATCTCAGCAAATTAAATTGAAAATTAAACATCAACCAATGCATATCGGTCTGTACTCTACAATTTCAAACAATTCAAATATTAAAAAAAAATTAAATATTAAATAATGCACACCAGCCAGTGCTCTACAATCTAAAAAAATAATATTAAAATACACACCAATTAGTGCTATTATGGTCAATCAAATTATAACTACATAAAAAAAACAAACATTATGTGGTCATAGGCAAACAATCAATCTATCAAACATCTAGATTTTTATTTTTCTTTTTTAAAATCTTTGTTTCTATACCAAGAAAATGGCATAGGCAAACAACCATTGCTGAGCTTTGGTGACCCATCATGAAACAAACTCAAAAACATTATACTGCTTATACTAATTTGACAGAAGCTGTGGGAGTTTTCACTGTTTGAATTCAAATGAAGGGATTTGAAATTAAACTTTGTAAGAACATAGACGAATTTTCAAATGAAATTCAATTTTGGAATTCATTTCTCAATTTCAAATGAAATTCAATTTCAGAATTCATTTATAAATTTCAGCTTTGTTCAAAAATTAGCGGAAGATGAAAATGGAAAGAAGCAGAAAAAGGCATAGGCAAACAACCAATCTATCAAACATCTAGATTTTTATTTTATTTTTTTAAAATCTCTATTTCTATATGAAGAAAATGGCATGGCAAACAACCATTGTTGAGTTTTGGTGACCCAATATGAAACAAACTCAAAAACATTATACTGTTTATACTATGTTGACAAAAGCTATGAGAGTTTCCACTGTTTGGATTGATGAATTTCAGATGAAAGAATTTGAAATTAAACTGTCACACCCCACTTTTTATTATTCGGAGTCATTACCAAATTCATTAACTTAATTCAGTTTCAGAGATAACATGCGAAAATAAACTCATACATTCGATCCGTAGAAGTGATTAACAATACTCTCATTCGTATGCAAAGTAAATATTACATGAACATACTTAATAAATTGCCCTTGGGCTTACATCACTTAAGGTACAAGAAGAAGGGTGTAACCCTTTTTACAACGATGGCATTCCGCCAACATAACTGAGGCCCCGTGGCCAGTAAATAGTAGATTCAATTCTTGCAGCTCAACCTGCTTAATACCTGAAAAAGATTCAATAATGTGGGATGAACATATAGTCCAGTAGGGATCTCAACATGGCCCTCAACAATAACAACATACAGATAGCTATGATCATGAATGCTTAATCTCATACTAGAATAGTAATGCGACAGTTTATACAAAATATACATAGGTAAGAACTTTTCTTGAAAACAACCATTTCAATCAACGCCATAGGCGATTCATCTTTCCCTTTCTTTTTATTAATCCCTGTTCTCAATCTTTCATAACATTAACAATACCTTAGGAAATAAATTCACTAAGCCCATTACTCTCTTTCGTTCTCCAAACATACATAGATAACCCTTCTCAAAATTCATAATTTCTTTTAAAGAAAAACCGTTTCCTTCACACTTTCCAAAAGACAAAGATGACAATTTGGCTTCTTCCCGATACAATCAACTCTATATATGCACCGTTATAAATAGAGATAACAACATACCGACATGCGTAAGATAAACCAATGAGGCAACTCGGCCCTCCAAAACCATAATCAACACAATCCATGATATTTCCCAAAACACAAAAACATCAACAACAAAACTTTGCTCTACTAGCTATGTGCATAGTAAGCCAAAGATACACTTCTCACAACAACATGCCAGTTTACCAAGCGCTAGCTGGAAGGGTGTGGTACCTTAGATTCTCAGCGCATACAGCTCTCCAGGCGCTAGCTGGAAGGTAACGGTACCTCTAATTATCAGCGCAGGTTACAACACCAACAATCGAAATGCAACAGGGCATAACCAACATGTACAACATATATACATAAACCATCCAGATACAAACAATGTGTTAAGGTATATGAACACATAGGTGTGTGGAGTCCATCCCCTATCTTCTCACACACACTGGAGTACAACCCCTCTCTCCTCCCTAACAAGTATACATATATAATGCATCTCAATATTTCGTCACATAAGATGTTCAATCAACAATGGTGTAATGCATACACGACAATTCAACACAACCATGTCATCCTCCACCGATGACCAAGGACAAAACCTCTAGATGCAAATATTTAGTACATCTATTAAGACTCAATTACTATGAGACCACAAACCCGACAACAACATTAACATGGTAGCTCAAGATACAATTCCACACATGTGTGTGTTCAACACTCATGAAACAACAATTCAATTTTCATACGTATTTCAAAGTACCTTTCCCATTTCACAAAACGAGTTCCACATTCTTTTTTTTTGTTTTCACAAAATCAACTCCTTCCCTTTTGTTGTTACAAAACCAAATTCATTCTTTTGTTTTACAAAACCACTTCCATTGATAATAGAGTCATAACTCATATTAGTCCACTACATTCATTTCAAACCATTCCAAAGCCAAAGTTAATCCCTTAAGCATTAACACCTTCACCCAACCCACATCAACACTAGAGATTTACAATATAGATTCACTACCCTCCATTTTAATTTATCAATCAATATATGATCTAGGGCTTTTTCCTCTATCAACTACAACATGCTAATTTACACTCTAATTAGCCCAAAACAATCATCAATGACAACAAAACCATTTCCAACACCCAACCCTAGGTTCCTTCTCATGATTTCAAACAAATCCCACATGGATATGATTTTTATGCAATACGGAATTACCACATGTCTATCTATAGGCGAAGTATTGAAAAAGAACAAGGAGAATCCCTACTTCGAATGTAGAACTCAAAGAGAAGATGAGCAAAACTCGGAAGTGCTCCAAATCCCAAATTTCTTGGATCGCCACGAAGCCCTCGACGATCAACACAACTTTCGTGAAGACCAAAAGTGAGCAAACAACTCCTACCAGATCAAATCTAAGAGAGAAGGGCCGGTTTTAGAATGAGAAGCTCTAAAAATGGCTTTTTGGAAAAGTAAGAGAGAACTTCGAATGTAGAACTCAAAGAGAAGATGAGCAAAACTCGGAAGTGCTCCAAATCCCAAATTTCTTGGATCGCCACGAAGCCCTCGACGATCAACACAACTTTCGTGAAGACCAAAAGTGAGCAAACAACTCCTACCATATCAAATCTAAGAGAGAAGGGCCGGTTTTAGAATGAGAAGCTCTGAAAATGGCTTTTTGGAAAAGTAAGAGAGAGAAAAGATCTTGAAAAAGTGATCCAAAAGTCGGATCTCGGATTTATATAAAAGTCGCCCCGCTCGAGCGTCAACCTCCCCGCTTGAGCGTCACTCACAGACTCCCGCTCCAGCGTCAACAATCACGCTCGAGCGGTACTCGCACAAACCCGCTCGAGCGGCCAATCCCACGCTCGAGCATCGAACACAGCACAGGAAATATTGGATAGGTGAAACTCCCGCTCGCCAAAACCCCCGCTCGAGCGGACAGGTCAAAATCTGGGCAACTAGTTTTGGTTTCTAATCTCAACCAACCTGTAACAAATCTGCCCAACACATTCTATAACTCAAATACAAAGTAAGAAAGGATGTATACCAGGTAATAATCAACTACTATCATTCACGGACACATGTCCGGATCACTGTACAACAAGGGTAAACCCGGGATTACTATATAAACTTTATAAGAACATAGACAAGTTTTCAAATGAAATTCAATTTTTGAATTCATTTCCAAATTTTCAAATGAAATTCAATTTTAGAATTCATTTATAAATTTCAACTTTGTTCCGTAAACAATTAACGCCCAAATACTTTTATTTTAGTTTAATTACGTGTTTTATGCAATCTTTAATTTACTGTTCTGT